CATGTATGAGCGGAAATGAAAAGCCATAGGCAAGCAAATTGATAATTGCATATCGCCATATTCTTTTAAAATATTTATTGTATTGCTTAATTATTAACTAAGCACCTTTTTGTCATCAACTCTTCACATTGTTTTCCATCTTTCAACATTATTTTTCTATTTGCCTTTAATAATTTTTGTTCCATAATCTTATTAGTTATTTTTTAGATAAGGAAAATTATGTTGCAGATCTGAGTATTAGACCTACGAAAAGGAAGAAAATTTTATTTTAAAAATTCACCACAGTGCCTTGATAATTTTTTATTTAATTTAATATTCAATTTCCTAGCGTATCTATTTAAGTTGAGATGGTAAAGCAAATCAAATTATTTAAACTCGATTTATATTTGGCTCAATAAAAAAAAATTCAAGAATGACTTATTATATAAATAAGTTAAAATTGAACACATTTTGAAATTCGCCGATTTTTTGAGTTCAGTTCAAACTCAGTTCTATAAACTTAAATGGGAAATAAAATACCAAATTGCTTCAACTCCATTCGATTAAAACTCATTTGGGTTCGGTTGAAATGGTAAACAAGACAAACTTATAAATATTTTAGTCAAATAAAATCATATTAAGATTCATATTCAAAATAAAAATATGGTGTATTTAGAATTCATACATATTTTTGTTTGGCTAATATTTTAATTTCCATCGTAGGCCCTAGCATATCCACCATGCAATTATTTTACTTTTGTTTGGATTTGGATAGAAAGAGAATATTCAAATAAGCTTCAAATTTAAAATTATAATGGAAAAGGAATTTTATTTTTATGTTTTTGTGTGCAAGCTTTCCCATGGCCATGGTTAATAAACTAAAAAAGGAAAATCAAACCTGGTGGTTGAACAAGGGTTGTGCTTCAGATCTTGCAGGCCAGTTGTAGAAACTTTTAAGGCTCACCAACTCTGAAAGATTAAGAGTTGTTAATTGAGAGAACACGATGATATCATTCCTGGTGGTTCCTTCTTCTTTTTCTTTCTCCGAGACTATCGCTTCCATCCTTGGACAATTATGTACGTTGAATTTTTGGAGATTTTGCAGTTGTGGGAGCATATTGAATTCGACCACATGTACCAATTTCTCACAAGTAGAAACCTTCATATCTTTCAATTGGCAGAAGGACTTTGATTCTTTTTCTGAGGCTATGAGTAATTGCTTGTCCCATATCTCTATTATGTTAGGCAATTCCTGAATTTCCAAATCCTCCAAGACGGGAAAAGCAACCTGTAAAGTAATTTACAAGACATGTAGCTAGTGACTATCACAAAATTGTGGATGAGCAACAACTTGTAATTGCAACAGTTTACAAACACATGCTTTAAACGTGTATGAGCGGAAATGAGAAGCATTAGGCAGGCAAATTGATAATTTCATATCGCCATAATCTTTTGCAATATTTATTCTATTGCTTAATTATTAACTAAGCACCTTTTTGATTTCAGCTCTTCACATTATTTTCCATCTTTCATAATTATTTTTCAATTTGACTTTTATAATATGTGTTCCATAACCTTATTAGTTATTTTTTAGATAAAACAAGTTATGTTGTAGATTTGAGTACTGGACTTATAAAAAAAAAGATAATTTTATTTTAAAAATTCACCACGATGCCTTGATAATTTTTTTTTTTTTTTTGATAATTTCATATTTAATTTAATAATCATTTTCTTGGCATATCTATTTAAGTTAAGATGGTAAAACAAATCAAATTATTTGAACTCGATTCATATTCGGCTCAATAAAAAACAATTCAAGAATGACTTGTTATATAAATAAGTTAAAATTGAACACATTTTGAAATTCGCCGATTTTTTGAGTTCAATTCGAACTCAGTTCTATAAACTTAAATGGGCAGTAAAATACCAAGTTGCTCGAACTCCTTTCGATTAAAACTCGTTTGGGTTCGGTTGAAATGGTAAAGAAGACAAACTTATGTATATTTTAGTCAAATAAAATCATATTAAGATTGATATTCCAAATAAAAATATGGCGTATTAGAATTCATACATATTTTTGTTTGGCCAATATTGTAATTTTCATCGTAGACCCCTAGCATATCCACCTTGCAATTATTTTACTTTTATTTGGATTTGGATAGAAAGAGAATATTCAAATAAGCTTCAAATTTAAAATTGTAATGGAAAAAGAATTTTAATTTTTTTTTTGTGCGCACGCTTTCCCATGGCAAGGGTTAATAAAATAAAAAAGGAAAATCGAACCTGGTGGTTGAATAAGGGTTGTGCTTCAAATCTTGTAGGCCCGTTGCAGAAACTTTTAAGGCTCACCAACTCAGAAAGATTAAGAGTTGTTAAATGAGAGAACACGATGATATCATTCCTGGTGGTTCCTTCTTCTTTTTCTTTCTCCGAGACTATCGCTTCCATCTTTGGACAATTATCTACGTTGAATTTTTTGAGATTTTGCAGTCGTGGGAGCATGTTGAATTCGACCACATGTACCAATTTCTCACAATTAGAAACCTTCATATCTTTCAATTGGCAGAAGGACTTTGATTCTTTTTCTGAGTCTATGAGTAATTGCTTGTCCCATATCTCTATTATGTTAGGCAATTTCTGAATTTTCAAATCCTCCAAGACGGGAAAAGCAACCTGTAAAGTAATTTACAACACATGTAGCTAGTGACTGTCACAAAATTGTGGATGAGCAACAACTTATAATTGCAACAGTTTTTGAACGCATGCTTTAATCGTGTATGAGCGGAAATGAGAAGCATTAGGCAGGCAAATTGATAATTTCATATCACCATATTCTTTTGAAATATTTATTCTATTGCTTAAGTATTAACAAGCACCTTTTTTATATCAGCTCTTCACATTGTTTTCCATCTTTCATTATTATTTTTCAATTTGCCTTTAATAATTTGTATTCCATAATCTTATTAGTTATTTTTTAGATAGGGCAAATTATGTTTTAGATTTGAGTATTGGACATATTTAAAAAAAAGAAAATTTTATTTTAAAAATTCACCACAGTGCCTTGATAATTTTTTATATTGATAATTTCTTATTTAATTTAATATTCATTTTCTTGGCATATCTATTTAAGTTAAGATGGTAAAACAAATCAAATTATTTGAACTCAATTTATATTCGGCTCAATAAAAAACAATTCAAGAATGACTTATTATATAAATAAGTTAAAATTGAACACATTTTGAAATTCACCGATTTTTTGAGTTCAATTCGAACTCAGTTTTATAAACTCAAATGGGAAATAAAATACCAAATTGCTTCAACTCCGTTCAATTAAAACTCGTTTGGGTTTGATAGAAATGGTAAAGAAGACAAACTTACATATATTTTAGTCGAATAAAATCATATTAAGATTCAGATTCAAAATTAAAAAAAAATAGTGTTAAATTTAGAATTCATACATATTTTTGTTTGGGTAATATTGTAATTTCCATCGTAGGCCCCTAGCATATCCACCATGAAATTATTTTACTTTTATTTGGATTTGGATAGAAAGAGAATATTCAAATATGCTTCAATTTTAAAATTGAATTTGAAAAGGAATTTAATTTTTTTTTTTTTGTGCGCGGTTTCCCATGGCCAAGGTTAATAAAATAAATTCAGAAAATCAAACCTTGTGGTTGAACAACGGTTGTACTTCAGATCTTGTAGGCCAGTTGTAGAAACTTTTAAGGCTCACCAACTCAGATAGATTAAGAGTTGTTAATTGAGAGAACACGATGATGTCATTACTGGTGGTTCCTTCTTCTTTTCCTTTCTCCGAGACTATCGCTTCCATCCGTGGACAAAGATCTACGTTGAATGTTTCCAGATTTTGCAGTCGTGAGAGCATATCGAACTGGACCACATGTACCAATTTCTCACAATTAGAAACCTTCATATCTTTCAGTTGGTAGAAAGACTTTGATTCTTTTTCTGATGCTATGACTAATTGCTTCTCCATATCTCTATTATGTTAGGCAATTCCTGAATTTCCAAATCCTCTAGGACGGGGAAAGCAACCTGCAAAGTAATTTACAATGCATGTAGTTAGTGACTGTTGCAAAATTGTGGATAAGCAACAATTGAAAATTGCAACAGTTTCCAAATGCATGCTTTAATCATGTATGAGCGGAAATGAAAAGCCATAGGCAAGCAAATTGATAATTGCATATCGCCATATTCTTTTGAAATATTTATCGTATTTCTTAGTTATTAACTGAGCACCTTTTTGTTATCAACTCATCACATTGTTTTCCATCTTTCATCAGTATTTTTCTATTTGCCTTTAATAATTTGTGTTCCATAATCTTATTACTTATTTTTTAGATAAGGCAAATTATGCTGTAGATCTGAGTATTAGACCTATGTAAAAGAAGAAAATTTTATTTTAAAAATTCACCACAGTGCCTTGATAATTTTTCATTTAATTTAATATTCATTTTCCTAGCCTATCTATTTAAGTTAAGATGGTAAAGCAAATCAAATTATTTGAACTCGATTTATATTCGGCTCAATAAAAAAGAATTCAAGAATGATTTATTATATAAATAAGTTAAAATTGAACACATTTTGAAATTCGCCCATTTTTTTACTTCAATTTGAACTCAATTCTATAAACTTAAATGGGCAGTAAAATACCAAGTTGCTCGAACTCTGTTCGATTGAAACTCGTTTGGGTTCGGCTCAAATGGTAAAGAAGACCAGTATATATTTTAGTCAAATAAAATCATGTAGATTCATATTCAAAATAAAAATATGGTGTATTTAGAATTCATACATATTTTTGTTTGACTAATATTGTAATTTCCATCGTAGGCCCCTAGCATATCCACCTTGAAATTATTTTACATTTGTTTGGATTTGGATAAAAAGAGAATATTCAAATAAGCTTCAAATTTAAAATTGTAATGGAAAAGGATTTTTTTTTTTTTTTTGTGTGCACGCTTTCCCATGGTCGTGGTTAATAAAATAAAAAAGGAAAATCAAACCTGTTGGTTGAACAAGGGTTGTGCTTTAGATCTTGTAGGCCAGTTGTAGAAACTTTTAAGGCTCACCAACTTAGAAAGATTAAGAGTTGTTAATTGAGAGAACATGATGATATCATTCCTTGGGGTTCCTTCTTCTTTTTCTTTCTCCGAGACTATCGCTTCCATCCTTGGACAATTGTCTACATTGAATTTTTTGAGATTTTGCAGCCGTGGGAGCATATTGAATTGGACTATGTGTACCAATTTCTCACAATTAGAAACCTTCATATCTTTCAATTGGCAGAAAGACTTTGACTCTTTTTCTGAGGCTATGAGTAGTTGCCTGTCCCATATCTCTATCATGTTAGGCAATTTCTGAAGTTTCAAATCCTCCAAGACGGGAAAAGCAACCTGTAAAGTAATTTACAACACATGTAGCTAGTGACTGTCACAAAATTGTGGATGAGCAACAACTTATAATTGCAATAGTTTACAAACACATGCTTTAAACGTGTATGAGCGAAAATGAGAAGCATTAGGCAGGCAAATTGATAATTTCATATCGCCATATTCTTTTGAAATATTTATTGTATTGCTTAATTATTAACTAAGCACCTTTTTTATTTCAGCTCTTCACAGTGTTTTCCGTCTTTCATAATTATTTTTCTATTTGACTTTAATAATTTGTGTTCTATAATCTTATTAGTTATTTTTTAGATAAGGCAAATTATGTTGTAGATTTGAGTATTGGACTTATGAAAAAGAAGAAAAATTTATTTTAAAAATTCGCCACGGTGCCTTGATAATTTTTTATTTCGATAATTTCCTATTTAATTTAATATTCATTTTCTTGGAATATCTATTTAAGTTAAGATGGTAAAACAAATCAAATTTTTTGAACTCGATTTATATTCGGCTCAATAAAAAATAATTCAAGAATGACTTATTATATAAATAGGTTAAAATTGAACACATTTTGAAATTCGCCGATTTTTTGAGTTCAGTTCTATAGCGATCCCGGGTTTTACCCCTTGTTGTACAGTGATCCGGACTTGGTTCTGTGGATGTTAGTAGTTGTATAAATCTTGCTAACGTCCTTTCATACTGCGTATTTGAGTTATAGGATGTGATGGACAGGTTTTTTTCAGGTTGGTTGTGTTTGGGAGCAAATGGTTGCTGCCCAGAATTTTGGTCCTTTGCTCGAGCCAAGGTCTCTTCGCTGGAGCGAGAGCCGAGTTTTGTGTCTGGTGGCTCGAGCCAGAGTTCCTTCGATCGAGCGAGCGTCTGCGTCTGGTTCTGGACCTGAGAACTGTGTTTCTTGGCTCGAGCGAGCTTTTCTTCGCTCGAGCGAGCGAGGTATATGTTTTCGAGTTCTTCGCTTGAGCGAGCTTCTGGGTTGCAGACCTGAAGCTTCGAGTTTTTGGCTCGAGCGAGGGTTTCTTGTGTCTGGTCGCTTGAGCGACCAAGTCTTCACTCGAGCGAGCCTGTGTTATATCAGTAGACAGCAGCGGGGAAAACATCACTTTTTCATCTTCTTTATTTTGAAAACCCTAGAAACCGACACACTCTCTCTCTAAACTTGCCTTCTCTCTAAGGTTTCATCTAGCTAGAGTGTGAATCTACCCTAGGTCCTTTGTTAAAAAGATAGAGTGGGTCGAGGGCTTCGTTTTAATCTGAAAAACTTGGGATTTGGAGCACGTTGGATTTTGGTCTTCATCTCCGTTTGAGCTCAAACTTCGAGGTAGGGATATCCTACTCCTCCTTATGAGCTTTGTCCTTAAATTTTGGCATTTTGATATGTTGGGGGTTGTTGGGTAATTTTGAGAAAGTTTGGGTCTTTGTGTAATTTTACAAAAGATGGGATTTTATTTATAATAAACCTATATGCATGTTTAGCATGAAGAAATGAGATAAATGTTGGGTTATTGATAAAAATGGAACCTTAGGGTTGTTTTGTTAATTACGGGAAATACCCTAATTACATTGATGAATTAATTTGTGAAATTAATTTGAGAGATAAGGAATTGAGTTGAGAATGTTGAAATTAGAAATGAATGGGATTAAAGGGTGTAGTTGGATTCATTTATCGCTCACCTAGTTGAAATGTTGATGTGTTATCCATTTGGTGCATTTATTTTCTGTTTAGAAATAACTGCTTTGGGCTATCGGTGGAGGATAGTCTTGATTGTTGTAGACAATGCATGATGATTAGGCAAACAAAAACTAATCGATTGAGTATGCTATCGAATATAGCGGTCAGAATAATACATTAACTTATGTATTGATTGATTGTATATGATCTATGTTTATACACGTGTTGTGTGGGAGGAGATAGGGGATGTACTCCACGGTTTATAGGAAGATAAGGGATGGACCTCTAAACTGGATTTTTTTGTGACATTGATACAGCACTGCAATGTGTATCAAGTGTTGATTATGGAAGTGTTTGAATTGATTTGATATAGCACTAAAATGTATATCATTATCAATTGTGAAGTATAGAAGTGTTTCTATGTTATATTGATACAGCACCAAAATGTGTATCGTTCGTAAAGTATGGAAGTGGTTTATGTGTTATTGATACAACATCAGAATGTGTATCCATCATGAATTTCGAAAGTGTTTTAAAGATGAGTCTCAATCTCATTAAGTTGTTTGGCCAAGTTCGGAGCCTTGTTTTCAAACTCAAAGTTGAAAAAGAAATGGGAAATGAAATGTAATATGGACTTGAATGTCATGAAACTATAATGTGATAAGTGGGAATATAAGTGTGGACCATCTATCAAATGCTGTTATTTTAGTCATTGCTTATAGTTGGTTTAGTATATTTCTGCTGGGCTGTGGCTCACCCTTTATGGGACATCATTTTCAGGTACAGGTAGCATGCCACCTCCAAGGACATAGCTTGGGAGGCTAGAGGCAGACAGACTTTTGTCGTTTTGTTATCTTTTGGACGTATTACATGTAAATTCAAGCCAAGGGCTTAATGTGTATTTGAGTTAGTACTCTCCTTTTTGTAACCAAGTGTTAACTTGGAAAGCTGTAAGCCCATAGGGCATTTGCTTTTGTTGTTAACATGTAATACTTTTTGTAATGAATTACTCTGATGAATAGAATGATGGTTATCTTTTGTATCAATGCATGTCTAGATTGATGGGCTTAATGTTATTATTTTGAGGGCGTGACAAGTTCGAACTCAGTTCTATAAACTTAAATGGGCAATAAAATACCATGTTGCTTCAACTCCATTCGATTAAAACTCGTTTGGGTTCGGTTGAAATGGTAAAGAAGACAAACTTATATATATTTTAGTCAAATAAAATCATATTAAGATTCATATTCAAAATAAAAATATGGTGTATTAGAATTCATACATATTTTTGTTTGGCTAATATTGTAATTTCCATCGTAGACCCCTAGCATATCCACCTTGCAATTGTTTTACTTTTATTTGGATTTGGATAGAAAGAGAATATTCAAATAAGCTTCAAATTTAAAATTGTAATGGAAAAAGAATTTTAATTTTTTTTTTCTACGCACGCTCTCCCATGGCAAGGTTAATAAAATAAAAATGGAAAATCAAACCTGGTGGTTGAACAAGGGTTGTGCTTCGTATCTTGTAGGCCAGTTGTAGAAACTTTTAAGGCTCACTAACTCAAAAAGATTAAGAGTTGTTAATTGAGAGAACACGATGATATCATTGGTGGTGGTTCCTTCTTCTTTTTCTTTCTCCGAGACTATCACTTCCATCCTTGGACAATTATCTACGTTGAATTTTTTGAGATTTTGCAATCGTGGGAGCATATTGAATTGAACCACTTGTACCAATTTCTCACAATTAGAAACCTCAATATCTTTCAGTTGGCAGAAGGACTTTGATTCTTTTTCTGAGGCTATGAGTATTTGCTTGTCCCATATCTCTATTATGTTATGCAATTCCCAAATTGTCAAAACCTCCAAGGCTGGGAAAGCAACCTGTAAAGTAGTTTACAACACTTTAGTTTAGTGACTATTACAAAATTGTGGATAAGCAACAATTGATAATTAAAACACTTTCCAAACGCATGCTTTAATCGTGTATGAGCGGAAATGAAAAGCATTAGGCAGGCAAATTGATAATTTCATATCGCCATATTCTTTTGAAATATTTATTCTATTGCTTAATTATTAACTAAGCACCTTTTTGATATCAGCTCTTCACATTGTTTTCCATTTTTCATCATTATTTTTCTATTTGCCTTTAATAATTTGTATTCCATAATCTTATTTGTTATTTTTTAGATAAGGAAAATTATGTTTTAGATTTGAGTATTGGACTTATGAAAAAGAAGAAAATTTTATTTTAAAAATTCACCACGGTGCTTTGATACTTTTTTATATTGATAATTTCTTATTTAATTTAATATTCATTTTGTTGGCATATCTATTTAATTTAAGATGGTAAAACAAATCAAATCATTTGAACTCGACTTATATTCGGCTCATTAAAAAACAATTCAAGAATGACTTGCTATATAAATAAGTTAAAACTGAACACATTTTGAAACTCGCTGATATTTTGAGTTTAGCTCGAACACAATTTTATAAACTTAAATGGGCAATAAGATACCAATTTAGTTGCTCGAACTCCGTTCCATTAAAACTCATTTGGGTTCGGTTCAAATGGTAAACAAAACAAACTTATATATATTTTTTCAAACTCCATAAGTTTTTCAAATTAAACTTGAATAACCTGTTATATGATTCGACTTGACTCGTTTACAATCCTAATTTTGACAATTAATATGAGATTGACAACCTTTATATGTATGGAGCTTTTGGACATCATGATGATTCTGATTTGTTTTGGCTTTAGATAAGATATTTTTTTTAATATATATATATATATATAGAGAGAGAGAGAGAGAGTTATTTTAACCTTTGTATATGAATTCTTTTTTCATTCTTTTGTATTGGAACCCATGGATAGTAAAAGTTTTACTCTTTTTTGGGTAAGTAAAAGTTTTACTTTTGATTGACCTTGGGACGACCTTTTTTTTTATGGTGATTTTTATTTTATTTTGTTGTGCTTTTGGAGATGTTTCAGACTTGTATTTTGTAGATGTTAGGTCTAACTTTAGGCCATACTTAAGGTATGGTCCATTCATTCAATATGATTCAAAAGGCAATTAAAATAAGAAAGTTGGAAGGTCCCACACGTAGATAGTGTTCACAAAAGCCATTCATTCCACAAAAGTCCCTCATCGTTTTCTACTTTGGATACTAATATGGTCATCATGTTTTAAGTTTGTTCTAGTAGGGTCTTGTTTGGTTCTTTGATACGTTGTTCTATATTTTTGTGCTTTTGTTAGGTTTTGACTATCTCTCATGTACTTCTTTCTCTTTTGGTTAATGAATTTGGGAAGTAATTTAGAAATAGAAAAGAAAAATTAAGTAAAATGTGAATGAAATATAACTACAATTCACCTATATTTTACATACCTTTTCCCCTTTTTCTTTCTAAATTTTTCTTCAAATTTATAAACCAAACACAGCCTAAACCAATAAAATGGTGTCATTATTTTTGTTACACGCACCCCAAAAAAGGAAAATATTATATGAACTATGACAACTTAACTTAGGGATAAAATTAAAATTTGTACAATTTTTTTATGAAAATTCTGAAACCTTGATTTTTATTATTTTATTTTTTCAAGTTTTTAGATAGCAATATTCAAGCAAATGTCAAAGTATTATTAAATTGGAAAATATGAAAGATTCAAAATAAATAGACATTACCAATACATGGCCAATGGGGGTGCCTTTTGGGCAAGGCCGGCCCTGGCCTAAGGCCAATAAGGCTTGTGCCTTAGGCCCCACAATTTTGGCCCAAAAAAAGGGCTCCCAAATTTAATAAATTGTTATAGGCCCAACCTTTTTTTTTTGTTTTTTTTTTTTTTTTCTTTTAGGATCAATTTAATGGGCCCCAAAATGTTTTATTGGGCCCATGTTTGGTTTAGCCCATATTTATGTGGTGCGGCCCATATTTATTAAAATAAAAATATATAAAAAACAAAACAAAAAAAACAAATAAAGTGTTTGGGCCCAACCCAAACCATACATACAATATACAACATTGTTCACTTAATATATGAAAGTAAATTTTAGTTTATAATTTTAATAATTATATGTGGAAGTATACTTAAATAAAAAATTTGTGAATATTTATTTTTTAATCATAAATTTTTTATTAAAAAAAAATATATTAGAGGAGCCCTATTTTCATAGTTCACCTTAGGCCCCACAAATCTCAAGGCCGGCCCGGCTTTTGAGTCGTGGAGGTCCACCCCAGGTCACGTTTTGATGATTTAAATTTTTTATTTTCATAAAGTCCTTCGTGTATATCATCTAAAAAAAAAAGTTGATTCAATAATCATAGCCTATTTAATTTATTACAATTGTATCCAAAAAAATGAATGATAAGTGTGTTTTTTAAAAAATCCATTTTTTTTAATGACAAACACGATAAATTGAAAAGGCTAAAATTATCACATTGATTTAATTTTTTTGCGGATGATATAAACGAAGAATCCTAAAAAATGTACGGTCCAAATAATTGAAATGAGACTCGTAGTGGGCCCACGGGCCCGAACAACACATTTTTGAATCTAGATTATAGGCAGGAGGGAAGCCTAATCTAAGTAAAATACATACAAACAAGCATACATGTACATATATGTGTATATACATTTGTGTTTCTGGTTTTACAGGTCATGTGCAACAAAAAAAGGATGAGAACATTCATACCTGGCTAGTGAAAAGGGATTGTCTTTCAGATCTAGAGGTGCAAAAGCTTTTGAGGCTCTCCAAATGTAAAAGCGCCAATCCCGTTAGTTGAGGGAACAAGATGGTATTTGTGTTATTTTCGGCCTTTTCATTTTCTTCCCCATTCTCCAATACTACTACTTTCAGCTCTTGACAATATGCTACGTAAAGTGCTCTCAGTTTTGGTAATTGTCGGGGCATATTGGACAAACCAACATTCACCAGTTTCTTACAGCTCCAGATGCTCAAGTCCCACAATTCTTTAAAGGACTCTGGTGGAGGTAATTTCCTGTCCCATATCTCTGTCAGCTTTGGTAGTCCGTAAATATTTAATTGCTCCAAGGCAGGGAACGTAACCTGCAACATTCATAGCATAATTGTTAAACATTAGACTCCAAGGTCAGCCTTATAACAAGTAGTACAATATAGCCCAATAAATTGATGTTAGTCATAATTAGTCAATCATTTAAGTCCAATAAATTGATTTTACCATGTTCCAATTAATGCCAAAACTTAAATGGTTTGTTCCATAACAATTAATGATTTTGTTTCATGCAATGGAAACTATAATAGTTTGGAAGTAATAAATCTTTTTGTGGCATTAGTGCAATCTTTTGTCCTTATTGTGCAATAGGTGTTGTGCATGAGTTGGTTTGATTGTTTTGACAGCAAATCATCAACATATTAAGAAAATTTGAACCCACTATAAATTCACCCTTTCTCAAAATTGTTGGGTTCTCCAGATTAAAAGTACAAAATGAGAGAAAACAATGGTGAACATAGAACTTTTATTTTTTATTTTATTTTATTTTTTTTTTGGCGATCTCAAAAAAAAATGTATTATTTATTTCAAATTATGGCTTAAAATCCACAAATTAATTAAATACAAAGCTATCAAACTATGGGGAAAAAATGTGATAAAAATAAGGACAGTTGTTTCCAAATCAAATTGCAAAACCTTCTCCAATTTAGTAGAAGAATACAATAATTTTATAGAGATTCACAAAAACTTTGACTTGAATTTCTAAGCTTTGAGTGTGATAGAGATTGATAGAGTTTCGACACGAATAATTGCCTTGAAACCAAAAGCTTATGAATGGAAAGTTCTTCTGGACTTTCTAGCTTCAATCCGATGAATCTTTCTTTCAACTTGATTTGTGTATAGAATTGTGTGTAAATGTTTTTCGGAGATCACTGTTATTTATGTGTCAATAAAAAGGAGTCTTGATAGAGTTTAATTTATTTTTTTTTATAGTTATCCTTAATTATTACTATTATTATTTTTTGATAATTGGGTGCCCAGATTAATTTGCGCGCACGTCAACTAATGTCCTAAAGTTAACCACCGAACAGACCTCCAGTGACTCGAACTCGAAACCTTGGATCTTATTCCCAAGTCTTTAACTCTAAGTCAACCCCTTAGGCTTATTATCCTTAATTATCTAGCGAGAAATACCAAAATATTATTTTATTAATATTTATCTCTCTATTTGTATGAAGATAAATTTCAAAATATCACTTTAATAATGTGTCATAATTTTATTGACTTAACTACCCAATGTGACAAGTGGCTTAATTTTATTTGTGGAGACTTGTTTACTTGAAACTACATTATTTTAACAAATGGTAAAATTTGATTTGACCACTATATAATCTTGATTTTAGACCGATTAGACACGTGACAATATTTGATTTGACAATACTTATGTCATATTTTTTAGATCTTTATAACACATGATAATTTGTAATTGACTAATATTTGGATACCTACAAAGCTTATCAAATGAGCCACATATGTTAAATGACTACTATTAGAATGACCACACTTGAATAATATCTCATGGGATATTTTACATGGCACTAATCACATTAACTTAGATACATGCCAAACATACTCTACTAACTGGGTTCTCATGTTAATCAAGATCAACACATTTCTTATGTATAATTTGGTGACAGAAGCTTTGGTGATATTTTTTGGGACGAATAATTGGGAAAGACTATGGTACACACTCTTCAAAAGGTGTGTACCATGTGCATTTTATAACTAAATAATAAAATGGTATAACTCCATACTTTTGAGTCATAATTAAAATTAAAAAAAAAAATTCATAACTGAACACTATATGAGACATAATTAAAGATCTCGTGAGTCACAACTAAAATAATATAATAACTAAAAAAGAAAATTAATCATAACTAAAGAAAAAAAAAATAGCATAACTATGTATGTATGCCATACATCCCTTTCAAGGTGCGTATTTCCCCAAATAATTTGGATTTTATTTAAAAGACCTTAATTTGAGTCTTCTTACCCAGAAAAATAAATAAATAAATAAATAAAATAATGAATGAAAAGTCTTGTGTGGCAGGAGGATACCAAATCACATAAAAGTTTGGAGGGATAAGATTCACTATATTACTATATTCCCTAATACATAAAACATTTTCAAATAACTACCTATAAAGGATTCAAAGCACATAAAAATGTTATTGACGAAACATACCTTTTCATTAAAGAGAGAGTGTGCTTGGGTAGATGAATTTTCCTTAGCGGTCGACGTCTTCTCCATTTTGGGGTAGAAGCTTACGAGGCTGGGTAGACTTTCCAACTCCATATATTTCAATTGACTAAAATTAATTGCCTCACTTGTGACTGCCTCTTCATTTTTTTCTCCTTCATTTCCAACAATTCCTTCCATGACCTCACAATCCCTTATTACTAGCCGTTGAATTTGCAGAAGCCCTCTTGCGCATGATGGGGAGAAGAGATATTTCAACTTACAATCTTCAATTGTTAATACAGTTAGGTCATGTTTGTTTGAGTGGACATGAGCTTGGGATTGGACTAATAGTCCAATAAAATTATTAATCCGATGTTTGGTTAAACAATTGAAGTACGGATTAATTATTTTAAACTTGATTATTAGTTAAGATAGGATACATAATCTAACGGATTGGTAGTCTTAGGACTATTAGTCATAGGAATGCTAATCCAATCCGCCCAAACAAACATGGCCTTAATTTATTGAAGGACCCCGATGGATATAGTTCGCAAGACACCTTCTGTAAACCTTCCACTTTTTCCAAATGAAGCACTTCAGCTCTCTCCAACAAAACATTAAACTCATCCCTGAAGGGAACGCCTACGAGTTTAAACATCCTTGTTGATGACTGATATTCAAAAGAATCAAAGCTTTCACCCATTGAAATTATAAATCTGATCAAGTTTTCAAAGCAGATGTCTTTAGGCAGTAGCATGGCATTTGGAATGTGTATATGTAAAGTGGTTAATTGCGTCAACTTCCTCAACTCATCAAGGCTCACATTGCTTCTTTCCTTGTTGGCTGTAGCATCCTCCCATTGCACAAAGCTATCTAAAATGTATAATTCTTCCAGGCGAGACAAATTAGATATGACACCTTGTGGAATCTTTGAGAGTTTGTTACAATCTCTCAAATCTAACAACCGAAGTTGAGTCAATTGTCCAATCTCTGATGGTAAGGCCTTGATATCAGAACCCCGAAGGCTAAGTACTTCAAGGTTGTTCTTTAGATCCTTGAGTATAGTTATGTCTTCCAACTGGCATTCATTTAGACATAACATCCGAAGGTTAACCAAATTTGCAAGTGATGGTGGGAGTTGCAACATACGTACTTCATTCAATTCTAAAACTGTAAGTTTCTCCATCCCATCGAAAAACATGTCTGGAATAATAACCAAGGGATCGATACATTCCAACAATAAGGTGTGGAGTTGTGATCAAAGGGAAGGGGGGGGAGAAGAATTAATCCCCCACAATGGGTGGGGGTGGTTGCGTGAATTCGAGATTAGTCAAATATATATATAATATTTTTCTTACTTTCACCTTTATATATTATTATTATTTTTTCACTTTGTAGTTCAATTTAGTGGCAACATATCATTTTCTGTTAAAGTATTTTACAGCAACCCACATTAGTTTAAGTACTAAATTGAATGCAAAGTATTGTAGATGCAGAGTGAATTTATATCATTTTTCTTTTTCTTGTCTCTCTTAATTGCAGATAAAGGGTGCTTCTATCTTCTCAAATTTGAAATCTCAGGCGTGATGGTTGACATATTGACTTTAGAAGTTGAAAGATAAGAAACTTGACATTTACCATGACTCTTGATTGGTTTCTGTTGCAATATGTACACTTGTTTCTTTAGTTAGCATTTGCTTTGAACCTCTCTTTTCTACCATATCCTTCTACTTTCCAAAAAATAAAAAGACTCACGAAGAGATAAGAAAAAGAGTGATTGAAAATGTGTAGTCCCCAAATCATACTGGATAAGATTGTAGAAAAAATTGTTGATTCAGTGATCCAATCGGTGGTGTGTCATATCCGTTTTGTTTGCTGCTACAAAGGAAACCTGGAGAAGTTGGATGCTGAAAAGAAAAACCTGGAAGAACAGCGGCAAAATGTCAATGACGAAGTTGATAGATACAAGACCTTGGTGAAGACATTGAGGCTAATGTTTTTCAAACTGGCAAACAGAGGCGGACAGTATGATAACGAAGTTGAAGAATTTTGAACAACAATACAGATAAGGAAAGCATGCAATGCTTTAAATTTTCATGTCCCGACTACATCTCACGCTATCAAATTGAGCAAGCAAGCAGAAAGGAAATTGTTTGATATCAAAAATCTTCACTCAAAAAGGAAAATTTGACAAAGTTTCACATCGTAAACACACCTCCTCAGAAACTTTTATTCCATCCAGTGCTGATTTTGTAATTTGGATTATATGAGTTTCAATTCAGAGAATCGGTTTTTCAAGAGGGATCATGGATGCATTAAAAGATTCCAAGGTTTAACAAGATTGGGGTACATGGACTAGGAGGGGTAGGTAAGACAAAAATGGTTGAAGAGGTTGGCAAACAAGTGAAAAAAGATGGACTTTTTGATGAAGTTGTGATGGCAGCTGTCTCTCAAGATGCGAATGTGAGAAAAATCCAATTGCAGTTGGTTGGAGGTTTGAATCCAAAAACTGATGTGGCGACAATTAATGATGAACATGAGAAAGCAAAGAATTATGGCTTAGATTGGACAATGGAAGAAAAATCTAATAATATTGGATGATATTTGGCATGAACTAAGCTGACACAATGGTATTCCTATCACAGGTAGGAACAAAGTTGTGATAACGTCTCGAAATCAAGATGTGTGGAAAAATATGGAAATGGATACAGAATTCAGATCAAAGTACTATCAGAGCAGAAGCATGGGACCTATTCAAGAACAAGGTGGGAGATTCTATTGATTCTGATTCAAGAACTACATGATATTGCAAAAGAGGTGTGTAAAGAGTGTCAAGGTTTGCCGGTTGCTATATCTTGTAGTTGGAGGTGCATTAAAAGGTAAGCAGAAGTATGTTTGGAAAAACGCACTTGAGAAGCTGAAAAAGTCTATTGCTACAGAAATATTGAGGGATTAGCCCAAGAGTTATATGAATCCATGAAGTTGAGCTATGATTATTTATCCATGGATGCAAAATATGCTTCTTGCTCTGTTGTATGTTTCCTGAAAATGCCCAGATTCCAATTGATGAATTGGTGAGACATTGCACGGCGGGGGGTTGCTTGATCAAAAGCCAGATACACTTGAAGAAGCAAGAGATGCAGTGCGTCAGTGGTCGATACACTCAAAACTTGCTCTTTGTTGTTAGATGGCAGAAATAAAAACTTTGTAAAAATGCATGATGTCATTCGAGATGTTGCTGTTTCAATTGCTGACGATGAAAAAGCAATTCTTGTAAAAACATGATGTCCATGAGTGGCCGAAAAAAAGGTACGTATGAATCTTACTTGGCAATCTCATTAGGTCCAAAACTGTTCATGAGGTTCCCAATAAATTGGGATGTTC